GCCTCAGCGCCCCGCATCCTGCGGAGGCACCTTGTTCTTCCACGGGACGGCGGAGGGCGGAGGCAGGCCTCCCAAACTGCTGCAAGAAGGCGTCCTGTCCGCTGGCCGAGAGGCCATGAGGGGGGCTGCCGGCCACCGGCCACCAACGGGAGCGGTGGACGCCCGGGTCTCCTTACTGCCTCTGTAACCTGGGCGCTTGGCACACGGCTCCCCTTTAGTCTCGGGCAGACCCATGGCCACCTGTACGCCTTTACGAACTTCTCCGCGGTTTGGGGTTTTAGTTGCGTTTTGTGAAAGCTCGTCGCTTTACGGGGACGTGCTGCAAGGCTTTCTGTTAAGTTCTAGCTTCGGGTCTCTGCTTCCCCTTACTAAGCAGCATGAAAACCACGAATCAAGGCAATTTCTTACTAAATCTTCTCACATTTGTGGATATTAAGATGTTTTACCACTGCAACTGTAAAACAAGACCAGCTGTGTGGTTTTGCTGTTCCGCTTCTGATCCCTCACACTCTCAGACTGGCCTGCCATCTGGGATGCCACTGTCCTTGTTGTGCTGGCCCAGCCAAGTCACCCCGTCCTCCTCTGTGCGTTAGCCAACTTTGATAACTGACTCAGCCTTTGAACTCGCAACGTCCCTTCAGTCTTCCAGCAGAACTTACTAGGTATCCAAATGTTTCTTTCTCTTTGAAAAAGACGATTGGCTTCTGGTGTTCATTTGTACGCTCACATTCTTTGTCCTCGGAATTCTTGGAACTTTTAAGGTTTGAAGAAATAAAACCAGTTAGAACATGATCCAGCATTTTAGTAGAGAAAGAAACATCTAAGGTATTGAATCTCATGATTAAGATGTGCCTTACGATGTGCGTTCTGCACGTATTGAGGCTGGAAGAACAGCCATATCATTATACTTACTACCTGTGCCATAGACGTTAAGAACGCAGAACTCTAAGGTAATGTCCTTATATTCTAATCAGAGTATGATGCAATTATATCCTTTGCATCTTGCTGCAAATGAAAGCATTGTTTAATAAAAAATGCTCTTGTTGAGCCAAATCTATTGTGTACATGCAGAACAGAGGAACAAAGTGCTGAGCCATCTCAACTCCTATTCACTTGTAGCAGCTGCTCAATTAAATCAGAGTTTAACGTCAGCATTTTG